CGATAGCTGGGAGACTACAGGTGCATGACACCACACTCAGCTAATTTTTTACTTTTATTTTTGTAGAGACAGAGTCTTGCTTTGTTGCCCAGGCTGGTCTTGAACTGTTGGCCTCAAGCGATCCTCCTGCTTGTCCTTCCAATGCTGAGATTACAGGCATGAGCCCCGGCACCCAGCTGAGAAATGCTTTTTATTTGATGTGATTTCCTAGTAGAATTTAGTATGAGTAATTTAAAACAGATATAGCACTAGCATGGTGGCATCGTGATTACACCTGTAATCCCAACCTTTGGGAGGCCAAGGTGGGCAGATTGCTTGAGCTCAGGAGTTTGAGACCAGCCTGGGCAACGTGGCAAAACTCTGTCTTTACAAAAATTAGCCAGACATAGTGGCACATGCCTGTGGTCCCAGCTACTCAGGAGGCTAAGGTGGGAGTATTGCTTGTGCCCAGGAAGTTGAGTGAGTCAAGATTGTGCCACTGCATTCCAGCCGGGGTGGCAGAGTGAGACCCCATCTTTAAATAAATAAATAAATAAATGGTAGGAACAGAGAAGGAGAATGGACGGTGTCACACCCACCAGCACCCTCCTGACCTCCAGTGGCCCACCTTATCCTTCCACACCTTTTGCTGAGCTCATACACATTCATACAAACTTGACTTTGATTTTTACCCAAAAATAATGAGATCCTATTCATTACTGTTTTTAATTTTTATTTATTTATTTAATTTTTAGGGCAGTACCCTGAGATTGTAAAGGTTCAGAGAGCTCCCCCTATTCATTACTTTTAATCTTCAATTCCTCTTCTAAAAGGTTTTTTCCTCTAATGCAGTGCATAAATGATTGGTCATTCATTTCAGGAGCCAAAACTCCTGACCTCGTTGATCCACCCGCCTCAGCCTCCCAAAGTGCTGGGATTATAGACATGAGCCACCATGCCCAGCCAAGCAAGCCCCTCTGATTCTCAACAAGAGGGGTGAGCAGTGTGAAGATAAGATGCGGCCTTGGTCCAAAGTCCAGAGTGCTTCTTGGGGCTGAGGGGCATAGCCGTTGCAGTGTTTTTCTAGGGGAGAATGGGTCTGGCACCCTCTCCTGAGTCTGGGGACATGAGCCTAGTGACACTGCCATGCAATTTGCTCGGGTTCCAGACGTCCCTACTGACTGTGCATGGGAGGCTTGGTGAAGCAGAGAAAGGAAAGTCCAGGGAAGGCCCCAAGAGAACCCATGGGCTCAAAAAGTCAAAGCTGTTAATCACAAAACAAAAGAAAAATACAATTTTTATGGAAAGGAAGGGGATTTTTATTTGGAAATGCTTAATGAGAGTGGTTTTCATTCTCCAGTTATCACAAATAGCATCAGAAATGAATGTGATTGCAGTTTACTCCGTCTTCACCAAACTTTGTAGAACTGCATGTCAACATATCTCTGACTTCTTTCTGTCAGTTGTCAGTCACCATTTTGAAAAAAATGCCCACATGTTCGATACTTCCATATCACAAGCACTTGAGTTCTTAGTGGGATTCTCAGCTCTTCAGTTTCGTCTGCCATTTGCTAATTAGACTTCTCTTACTGTGCCATGAAAAGAAGACTTTAACAGCAGAAAAGCAATTCTTCCAGTGTTTACTTTAAGTTTCTCTCTTTTTAAGGATCTTTTGAATTTTGATGATCCACTGAATATTGAAGCTGCAGAACATCATTTGCGGGACAAGGTGAGCCAGGAACAGGCTTATTCTAGGTTGATGTACTTGTCACAAAGATGATTACTACTGTTTCTTGATTGGATAAATGAGAAATTGAGAGTGGTGGGATGCAAAGCTGGAATTCAAAGCAGTTTGTAAACAATATGGTATAGTAAATGTATGTAACCTCAGGAAAATGCTTTACCCAAGGTTAGAGAGAATTGGTGTGTGTTGTTTTTTTTGTTTTTTGTTTTGGTTTTGTCTTTTTGGACAAGATTTCACTCCTGTACCCAGGCGCCTGGAGTGGCAGTGTGTATTAGTGGCCTCACTGCAGCCTCTACTCCTGCTCAAAGTGATCCTCCCACTTAGCCTTCCGATAGCTGGGACTACAGGTGCATGACACACACTCAGCTAAAGTGGAGATTTTGTAAGAGCAGAGTCTTGCTTTGTTGCCCAGGCTGTCTTGAACTGTTGGCCTCAAGCGATCCTCCTGCTTGGTCCTTCCAATGCTGAGATTACAGGCATGAGCCCCGGCACCTCAGTCTGAGAAATGCTTTTTATTTGATGTGTTTCCTAGTGAATTTAGTAATGAGTAATTTAAAACGATAAGCACTAGCATGGTGGGCTCCCGTGATTACACCTGTAATCCCAAACCTTGTTGGGAGGCCAAGGGGGCAGATTGCTTGAGCTCAGGAGTTCTGGACCAGCCTGGGCAACGTGGCAAACTCTGTCCTTTACAAAAAATTCAGCCAGACATAGTGGCCACATGCCTGTGGTCCCAGCTACTCAGGAGGCT